CTAACCATCCTCCTCTCTGTCATAGCCATCGGTACAGCAGGTTCCCATACTAACCATCCTCCTCTCTGTCATAGCCATCGGTACAGCAGGTTCCCATACTAACCATCCTCCTCTCTGTCATAGCCATCGGTACAGCAGGTTCCCATACTAACCATCCTCCTCTCTGTCATAGCCATCGGTACAGCAGGTTCCCATACTAACCATCCTCCTCTCTGTCATAGCCATCGGTACAGCAGGTTCCCATACTAACCATAATCCTGTCTGTCATAGCCATCGGTACAGCAGGTTCCCATACTAACCATAATCCTGTCTGTCATAGCCATCGGTATGTGAACCCTTAAGGTCGCACCAAGCAATGTGCCCAAAGAAGTGCTGAGTTGCACACATCAAAATCCTGCCAAGACCCCTATCAACATCACACACCCTCCTGCCCAGTTATCTGCACTGGACAGAACTGCTACCAACAGTTGGTAAAGTCGAGAGAGCACTCATCACACAGTGCCACAATAATGTCTGCAATCTGCACAGTCTGCCCCATTTTCATAGAATAAGCTTTCTTTATTAGGACCTTACTTAGTAGCTAACTTAGTATTATCATGTCTGAGACCAACAATAACCATGTATTCTAGGATTGTCTTACATATTACAATATCTGAGTATCATGTACGTCACACAATTTCTAGAGCTGAAACATGTTTCAATACAAACAAATAAACATGTTTCAAAACACACAAATAAACATGTTTCAATACACACAAATAAACATGTTTCAATACAAACAAATAAACATGTTTCAATACACACAAATAAACATGTTTCAAAACACACAAATAAACATGTTTCAATACACACAAATAAACATGTTTCAATACACACAAATAAACATGTTTCAAAACAAATGCTAATGACACAATCAACTGCAGTCCCCTCTTTCCTCTTTCCATCCAATGCCTTAGTTGTGGCACGACATGATTTTCCCCACTCCTCGAAAGCCTCACACAAAAGAGATGTCGGGAGTTTAATCTCATCCCATACGAGCCCACGAAAGAGTTACTGGGGGTCGTTGTGTGTTTGTGTGTGTGTGTGTGTGTGGAGGGGGGAGGGGTATGGTCTGGGCCCCTCAAACAGAGACACTGACATTCAAGTTCGAGTTGCGTCTTCTTTTGTTCAGGAGTGCAGTCAGTGTGGATAGCTCTCTGGGACCAAATCCCCCCTCCCTCTTTCCCCACCAAAACTAACCCCCCTGCACCTCTCTCTGCCAGCCTGCCGGCTAGGAGCACAACTGCATTGTCTGGGTGGAGACAGGGCGCTTGTTGCTAGCCTTCTGTCTCAGTATGCTGAGCGCTTGACAATGGCTGCTTTTTAAATACGCAGACAATCGAAAGAAAGACAAATTCCTCCCTCCTGTCTGTTATTGTAACCTTTCAAAAGCTCTGCCCTTGTACACTTCTCTTTTTTCTTAAGACTTAATGTTTCATTCAATCCATTTGAATTCCACGGCACAACTGCAAACAATTCATTTCATGGCATTTGGCATTGAAACATCTGCAAGTTTAGAGTTGTATGGTTATTGGTTAGACACTTTTGATTCCCTCTTTATGTACAATATTTGCTCTCTATAGAAATTTTACCTCAATTAAAATCCTTCTGCAAAGGTTAAGGTTGTCATCATACAAAGTTTTCTCAAGTATGCTGATGCAGTATCCCCTATGGCTTCCTTATAATCTATTATTGCAAGACTTCTAATTCTTTAACAGCAACAGTGGTGCCAAACAGTCATCTCAAGCACATCAGCCTTTTATGGTGAAACGGTGTCCTAAACTGTTTTACATCCATCAATTTGTGCTTTTTTTCTATGAAGCAGGACACTTAGTACAGTCCTAGTTCGTTTTGATGTTTATAACTTCACAGCCATAGCTGGCCTTGTGGAAGCATGTGCTTGTCTCTCCCCTGCCCAGGCGCTCACAGCTTGGCAGAGGGCTGGCTCACACAAACTTCTGTGTTGTAGCTGCTACAGATAGTCGCCCAAGCTGGTCGCCGATTCCAACATGTTGAGCCACTACCCTTCGGCACAGCCAAATGTTTCTGCAGCTGCCCTTTTGTCCCTGTTCCTTAAGTAAACAAAGGACAGATACAAATTAATGACCTAAATTCAGAGCAAAACACTCAGCTCCATCTGAGAGCAAATTGTCTTCTTCACGCAGATGTTCAGGAACATAGCGTAGCAAGCAATAATGAAGTATGTTACAGGTTCATTATTTTTCATGACACTTTAAAACAATACATAGTTACTTAGGGTCATTAATAGGGGTTATATTACTATTATAGGGACTTGTGTGTCAGCTTGTCATCATTGCTCCTGTTTAAGGAGTGACATTCACTGAATTAAATAATGGAAGAAGGGGCAAATGTGAAAATACTGCATGGACAAGTGAAAATACTGCATGGACAAGTGAAAATACTGCATGGACAAGTGATAATACTGCATGGACAAGTGACAATACTGCATGGACAAGTGAAAATAGAGTTAAAAGTAATTTAAAAAATAAAGGTGTAATGAATAGTTAAACCATTCAGAAATAATATTATGCCTTGATATAGTTATCTATCAACATAAATCATTTAAAAAGTTACAAACACTTATATGTTTCTGAAACAATATCTTGCCTTTGAAAACAGAAGAAAATCTTCCAGTAATTAGGAGATGAGGGTGTTAGTCTTCGTGGTGGGGGTGGGGGGGCTTACAGCATATGACCATCTGTAGCAATGCCCTAATGAATAACGCTCACTGACTTCAAAGTGGTCAGCCTTTAATGCATCTGTAAGGCCAGGTTTGCAGAGCAGCAAGACATTAGATAAAGCTGATTTTGTTTCTTGGAAAACTGTACTTGAGGAGCTTTGGCAGGAGGCTGTGTGTGTGTTGCGGGGGGTGGTTCTCGACAAGCTGCTGCACATTTTCTCAGGTCCAGCCCACGCCTTAGCCAGTGCAACAGCTAGATATATCAGCACCACACACACACACTGGCCATGCAGGGCACCACACTGTGCCCAACCTGGGCCCAATCTAGATCCACAGCCTCCCCACCCACCCACCCACACAACATGGCATAGAAAAAGAAATGATGCCAACACTTCTCTTACTTTCATTGCTGACAAATATGAGTACACTGTATATAGATTTTCATTATACATAATCACAGTCACTATAGTTACTGTTATAAAGAGCAACGCTAGAATATGTTGAATAACTCATGTGTAGGTATAGCTTGGATAACACGTTAAATGATACACACTTAGGGTTGTGTGTAATTGTAACATTTGATTGAGCTTGTATCTAATACATATAGGCAGGTCTCTGAGGATTCTAGTCTGTTAACATTTATGAGACTAAATGAAGAAAAATACATTTACAAAGCAAATTCATATCACAATAATTTCAGCAGATGTCATCTTCCTTGTGTTAAAATATGACTGTGGCTCTAAGCTATATTAATAAGTGTAATAAGCATTTAACTAATCTTCCAAATGTGCGGTAGTTTTGTGCCTGTGAATGTAACACCGACTGAATGGCACCCATGTTATTCACTCGAGGTGACAAATTAAACACACACATTCACATTGGAATTGAGTTAAGGTTCTTATAATTTATTGCAGTTTGCACACAATTTAAAAATGTCAACAACAGCACACCAAAAAAGTACAAAACTAAACAGCCTTAGAATTTACTCCCCTTGAGAAAATAAAACATACTATGATTGTCAAAGCTAAAATGTCTAAATCCATAAAAAGAACAATGTCAAAGAAACAAAATCTCACAGGGAAGCAAATATATTTTAAACAAAATCTGCTTCTTTTTCAGACAGTGATTGTCCTTTTCAACAGATGTATTTTTATTTCCCCCCTCCTATCTCTTCATATATTGTCTTCTACATTTTAAATGTTTTCCCTCCCACTGAACCTTTCCTGTTTTCAAGTAACCAAAGTTGGATTGATGATAAATGGAGATGCTTATCAGGTCATTTCACAGCTTACTTTCTTCTCTTTTTAAAAGGTCAATAAACAGTCCAGTTAAACAAACTTACAGTGTTCCAGTGATAACGTGAAAACCCCCCCAGCTGTTTACAGTAGTTTAAGGCGGTCAAGTACAATAAGAAAAGCCAGCAATAATTGTAAATAAGTCTTCAAATAGAGAGTTAACCCACATATGATATTTTCCATGATATTTGTGGTTGCAAAGAGATCAATTACCACTGTGCAAAGTGCTATGACACTGTGCGCAGTTGGCAAGGAGCACCCATGTCACCAACTGATGCTGCCACCACCACATCCACTGAAGAGCAAACCAAACCCCCGGGCCAGCGTGGGCATGCCAGTATCTCCCCACAAGTGCGGACATTCATAGCCCTACTTACTATCAACTGAGTTTGGGTAAAGTTTAAGTTTTGCTTTTGTTTGACAGTTCTCATAAGAATGGGCATTTTCTTGATTCCATGATTTTTGTGCACAAAAATATTTTGAGTGCAGATATTTTCCCAGAATGTTCACATTCATAAAAAATAAAAAAACGTTCTAAATAAAATATTCAAATAACGAACAGTTCAAATTTCATTCAAAAAATGATCAATTATGTTAAGGTTAATTCAATAATTTCATGATTTCATCTCCTCTTGAATGTAATAGTATCCATGATTTCTTGAATCTATAATTTATAACTATAATTTTCATAAAGGCATCTTTTCAGCATAAATCTCAGTTAAATAAGCTTTAAAGGTGCAGTCAAGCATGCCAATTCTCCCCCTTCAAAAGTAAGGATTGCGCTTTCAGTACAAAACCTGCATGTGTGCATACATACAGTACGTACATAGGAGCATCCAAACAGATATACACAGACATACAAATTAGGAGCTTGATGTTTTAAGCATAGTGCTGCTCTCCGACCATTGAAACCGAAAAAACCTTCAGGAGTACTCAGACATGAGCAGGTGAGCCTCTCTCTCTCTCGCTCTCTCTCTCTCTCTCTCTCATACCTCAGATAGAAAAGTGTGACGCATTTTCATTGGCCGCACAGTTAGAAACAAGTGCCAAATGAAAATATAAATAAATCAATTACCCACAATGCTTACTTCATGTCAATGAGAGAGCACAAAATACCAAAGAAGAACGTCAACTGGATAGATACAGCAGTTGGGAACCTTAGCTCCCTGACCACCATGCAGCAGAGTAGACTGTGACGAAGTGCTGTGTGGACGGGAGGCAAACACACTAGTGGAGATCTTCTGTAGATTAGTTCGTTAGTTAGGTCACTGTTGGCATTCAGCCCACACTGCCCACCTCTGTCTGTCTGACGACAAGCTTCACCTCACATACCGCTACACAAACTCAAACTCAAGACCAGTACATTGACAAAAAATCTTCACAGCCCAGCAGAACATTTCAAAGGAGTCCCAACGGACTCTCAAAAGGAGCAGAGAAAATAAATCAACTACTTAAGAATAGAATTAGTTAATTTAAAATACACTCCTCAAATGCAAAAAACAACAACAACAAAAGGTCAATAAATCATATTCATGCATTTTCCATAGCTGTAATATTCAGTTTTTTTAACAGACTGCACCCTTGGAGTATTCACATAGTCTGTTCTATATTTGTTCAATTACAGTGTACAGTAATACAGCAATTCACATTTCAAATATACAGGTTGGACTTCATGCAATAACAGATCCCATTTTCCAAAAAATAAATCCATATAATCACTACGGAAACCTATAGAATACAGCCAACTTAAATTACATTCGGTTCAACAAAGGATATTTAAAAGCTGCAAATAGAGATTTAAGAAATTCTAAAATAATCATTTATAAAGGGTTTTAGAAAATACTTCCAATTAATGTGAAAAATGAAACTGTACATTGCATGAGTGCCATTTGTCTTTCATCAGTCAAGTTTCCTATCACAAGTCAAAATGTACAAGAGCTTAAGGAGCAGAAGCTTGTAGCTATTTAGATCAGACCTCTTTGCAGAGCAAAACAATTCCAAACGCACACACACACACAGATGAAATGTGATAATGAAATTAGAGTAGTGCACTATACACACATGTATTCATACACACATGTATGCGTACTGGTATATATTCATGATCACAGTACCCGTTTAGTGTATTCTAATAGTCTTTCACTTCAGTGTGTATTACCTGAACACTTCATATGGTTGTCATTGAAGGTGTGCCTTAGATTAAGGAGTGTATAGACATTTGTGTATATACACAAGAAGACATCTAAAAATAACTAAACACTGGCTACTGATTCCAGCGGCCATGTTTACATTTTTTTAAACAAAATCAGAACAAATAGAATAGAATAGAATAAAACAAAGGACTGGAACAGAAAACAGTAGTAACATGTTCATGTGCTATTAAAGTGCCATTTAACAAGATTTTGCAATGTTACGTACAAGAAACATGACTGATTCAGATCCCTCTCCCACCCACAGCCCCTGCTCCAACTCCCCTTACCTCGCTGCCCAACCTTCACTGACACCTCTCTCATTTAGCTTAAAAACAAAGTCCTGATCATTTCAGCAGGGTTCACTTCCACAGTTCTTGAGAACTATCCTCTATGGCCCAGTCCCTGTGGAGGTTGGGGAGGTTGAGGCCTTCGCTCTTGACCGAGAGCGAGTTGACCAGTTCGCAGTGGAACTTGCGGATGTGGCGGTACAGGTCCCCGGACTGGGTGAAGCGCCGCTCGCACCACTTGCAGGCATGCGGCTTCTCTCGGGTGTGCACCACAGCATGTCGGCTCAGGTTGTGGGAGTACTGGAAGCTCTTACCGCACGTGGTGCACGTGTACGGCTTCTCCCCGGAGTGAGTCCGCTCGTGGCGCTTCAGGGTGTACATGCAGGAGAACGTCTTGCCGCAGATCGAGCAGGTGGGCACGTTGACATCGCTGGCGGGCTTGGCGCGCACACCCTCCTGCTCGCGAAAGTGTGTGCTGAGGTGGATCTGGAGGATGTGCGGGCTGGGAAACACCTTGTTGCACAGGGGGCACATGAAGATCTGAGTGTGGGGGGCGTTCAGCATGTTGGACACGTAGGGAAGCAGGGCGCTGTCAATGCTGGCCGCCTCGACCTGGGCCCGCTCACTCTCTCCCCCCAGCATGTCATCATCGCTGACCTTGTCGTCACGCTCCAGTTCGCTGGCCAGGGAGGCGTCACGCAGGGCCGAGAGGTGGGCCTCCAGGCCCAGGCGTCTGTGAGCATGGCTGCCGATCCCGTGGTGGTTCAGTCCTCCGTTGGTTCTGGGAGGGGTGGCTTTGGGCCCGCTGTGGTCCATTTCGTAGTCGCCCCTCACCAGGCCCTCATCATCTGAGCCTGTGTTCTTCTCCTGCTTCACCTGGACCAGGGTGCCCTGCAGGCTGTCGGGCGTCACCCGGCCACAGAAGTAGGGGTTGTTGGACAAGGCCTCGCTGGGCCCTGTCAGGCTGGACTTCACAGACAAGTCCAGGACACAGTCTGCATCCGCCGACACTCTGCGGGAGCTTCGGGAGCCATGGGAGCCCAGGGACCTCCGGGACAGGGAGCCAGTAGAGCTGCTGGGGCTACCGGCAGGGGACTGCAGTTTGGGGGGACTGCCATGGGCGTCAGTCTCCCTTGGGCTGGTGGCGGTGGCCGGGGTGCCCGGGCGGTCGGAGGGCAGCCTCATCCACAGGTTGCTGGGGTCCTGCTTGGCCTCCAGGTCCTCTTCGTCACTGGGCAGTAGGTCGGCTGTGGCCGGGTGGCCCGTGCTGCCCTCAGAGAAGCTCTCTACTTTGTCAGAGCAGCTGGAGGCGTCCTCCTCCTTCTTGGTGCTGTCTGCCTCCGCAGTGGCTTTGTACTTCAGCTTCTTCTTGCAGACCTTGACAATGTCGTACATGTGCAGGAAGCTGGCAGCAGCCAACACGTCCTCCACGGGCAGGGCTTTGAACTCGAGCTTCCCCTCGTACATGAACTCCAGCAGGAGAGCGAACGCCGGGGCTGTAACAATGTCGCTGTTCAGATGAACAATGTCCCTTTTGTCGAGCTGGTCCTTGTAAAAGAGATGGAAGTACATGCTGCATGAAGCCAGCACTGCTCGATGGGCTCGGAACTGGGCATCGCCGACCAGCACAGTGGAATCACAAAGGAAACCCTGATGCCTCTGCTCGCTCAGACACTGTAGCAAATGTCTGCTGTGGTCTGGGAACTCCATGCTGTCTTCATAACCTAGAACAGACAGCAGATGTTAGGCACATTATTTTAGAACAGCTACTGTTTTGTTTCAGCTTGTATACAACCGGTCTGGATCCTCTCATCCACTCAGCTCTCACTCGCTCTCACCTCATGCACACACAATTGCACTCACTCGCCCTCTCTCTCATTAAAAAAGGAACAGATTAAAACAACAAATTATCCTACACATGAAGTCCTTGACATTTTAAACTATATCTACAAAACACAATGTCACTAAAACATCACCAAAGATACATTTTCCTTTTTAAATTCTGCTAACATGTTTTAGCAACAACAAATTCAAACTTTCAGACACACAAACACCAAATAAAAAACGGATAAAGTCTAATTGCTCCATTAACCTAAATGTTTCCAGATGATATTTGGGAGAGGTGTTGCTCTAGACTGCGATCTATGGCCGTTCCACATGATCACAGAGAGGCTTCAGCAGCTGAGCGCCTCCTGGTCACACAGATGCCCGCCTGCCTGCTAACTGAACAGCTTCTACGCTTTTACTCTCCCAGCTCCTAGTGGTTCTTTTTAATAACCCACTTTAGCCTGGTCAGCCTCTTTAGGTAACAGGCTTTCCGGTACACAAACAGTCCCCACATACACAAGCTACCTATTCCAGAGGCCTAAGTATACTGAGAATGACAACTGTACATGCGGAATTGAAGGGTTTGAAAAACAAGCTGCCTTGTTGGTAATTACAAAAGGGCATTTATTGCCAACTCCCACTGTTAGTTAGATCCAATAAAAAAAGAGAGTCCTATTCATAAAATACATTCCATGAATACGTTTTTCTAAATCAACTTTCATAATAACAGATTCAGAAATCTGAATGAGAAAACCTCCCCCACACCTGTTAACCAAGTAGCGTTTTCTTGCCTGAAATAATACATGAGCCTGACCATTAACCAAAGCAGTTAAATAAACCCATTTGAATGTGAGTGAACAAGTGCGCGATCCCCCTCATTGGAGCAGAGTTCAGATTTTCTTTAATGAGACGCTTACTGGGACAAGGATGTCCAACCCCCCAGCCAACCCCCACCACCCCACGCTCCCCCTCCCCAAATATTTCGAGAAACTGCACATCCTCCTCAAAGAGACCAGCACTGAAGATTTACAATACAATCACTTTAAGTGCCCTGTAGTCTACCTCAATCCTAATCCTTAAGATGTCTAAAAATAAAGATAGCAGGACAACTCACAAGGTAGCAGCGATCAAATTAGGGGTCTGTCAGGACAGAGAGGGACGGAGAAGGAGGCTTACAAACATCTGATGCAGCTGACTGGGGCCATATGGCAGCTGCTGCCCAGATAAAGAGATTAAGACTAGGAGGAGTGCGATTACAGCTGTCTAGCCAATTCAGGCAGCTCAAATCTGCAAGTTCTAAATTAGTCACCACCAACAGAAAAAATGAACACAAGCTTGGGAAAGAGGACATTGGGCTTTCAAGTAATTTCACAGCCATTTAGATTTAAAACATTGAATTATTCTTAGTGAAAATGACCATATTGATTATTTTATTTTTTACATCATTCTGGGATGTTTTAACCAGAATAACTTTGAGTATAAATATCTAAAATGTTGATAAAGTAATACTGTGTGTTTACCAGACAATAAATACTTGTTAAATAGCTTTTAAGCATTAGTTTCAACACAAATTACGAAATATATTTTGGTTGAAACAAATAAGAATAATTTCCCAAAAAAATGATAATAATTTCAACAAACATTCAACAATCAATGGACCAGCAATCAACTCCAAGCCCAACTTGCTCACAACAAACCAGAGAAAAACTACATCCACAAACAAATAGATCAGTTAAAATCTCACTTGGAAACCTCTTCCTGACTACAAAAACACCAGTCTCCTGCTTAGCTACGGTACACAACTACTGTACACATACAAATCTTTCACTTCCCTTTCCATAGAGCTCTGACTAAAAGTATCCAGACACTGGGAAAAGCCCTGGAAAACAAAACCATCCCAGTGCCCCAGACCCTTCCCCATAGACAGTACCTGCAGTATGCATCAACTTGATTAAGTCCGCTGTAGTAGAAAAGCTGGCCGGCTGCAGCTCTTTTGCAGAATCAATGAGGGGGTAGGAGAGAAAAAAAGCTAACTGTGAGAGACAGATGCAAAGTGGAGGAGATGTTGGAGGGGAATGAGATACCTCCTCCTGCACACAGATCCGCACACACACTAACTCCCAGTCTGTGCGTTAGAATAAAAGACTGGGGGATGGCAGCCTGTCAGCTGCTCTGACATCATGTTCAGATGGAAATGCTACCTCCAGCTGTGCTCCTTTTACAGCCATATGCTACTCCTCTACACTCTTGCCACCAGCCTCTCCTTTATACAACTTTGTTTCTTTTTCTCTCCTCTCTAAAAAAAGGGGGTAAATGTAGTGAGGTGCTTGTGTGGAAAACTAGCCAACTTCCCAGTACCTCTTTACTGTAAAGTAAAAGAGAACTTTGGAAAATAGGTCTGTGTGAAAACCGACACTTTTTTCTAACCTAGTTTCCCAGACTAGTTTCCTGCGCAAGGAATTTAAATACCCCTCAAGTTTTTTTTTGCCTGCTCAACTTCCAGTAACCATAAACAAAGGCCAGCACAGCACATTTGCAACTGACAGATCCACGCAGCTGATATTGTTTTCGACTTCTTTACGGTTCACTGCCCTCACCATTACCATCATTCATTTCCCTAACCCTTCATACAACTGACAGAAAAAAAATGAAAAAGTAACAATGGGAACAATAGTATTGACCTCATGAGTGAGATTCTAAACAAAAGCTACACTATTCCTTGTTGAGCAGGCTAAAACTGACTACAGCCTCGGCTTTCTTTTGTGAAAGTATTCCACTCTTCCGTGTGAATTTTTCAGGGGGTCTTTTTATTCCACAAGGAATTAATTTATTTCTCTGCCATGTGAATGGATCACAACAACGCATCTATATACAGCCCATTATTATTCATATCAAACAATAACAGTAGGCTATATAATATATTCACATTATTGTGTAGGCTATATAGATATGAACTTAATATTCAAGATATTCAACATGTTCCTGTTGACATAAGGGTGTTAAAATTCACATGTTTATTATGAATATTTACAAGATCAAAAACTTTAGGAATTAACTGCAATTTATACTGAGTGTAGCCTATACTTAAGAAAGAGGAGGAGAAACACGAATATAAGGCTACTAGAACAAACCTCTGGCCAGATATCTTATTATGTTATTCATACATATCCTTAAATTACCTTCAAAGTTTCAACGACTCTGCATGCAAATTGGAAAATTGGAGTTGCAACTAAATAATTAGGCTACAATATTACTGATTCAGGATACGATTACTGTTCACAGTACCTATTCCTTTCACAGAAAATGGAAGAATGTATAATTAAATAGCCCTAGTGAATTTTGGCAACAATGTTACAACATTAATATTACAACTTGTAACACACACACACATCACGCTAATCCAATGATACATCATTCATTTCAGCCTAGCAATTAGATTAGGCTATATTGCCATCGCCTTTTATCGTAATAGCTTACAGACAGTCTACAAAAAAGATCCAAAGCCAAGAAACAACTGCTATAAATTAGCCATTACTTCTATAAACTTCATGAGCCCCTGACATGACACGTTACTCTCGTTACGAGCAACTATCTGATCAATGTATCTGTCAACCTCTGTAGACTACTTACTCCTCAAGGGTGGCTATAGGCTGGCTACCAACATTTCTCTTTCTCTGTGCTGCTGGTTACAGAATGTAAGACTGTTGCGAGCAACACAACAGAACATTCGCAAGACTACAAATACAATATCTCTCGCGCGCACACACACACTGACCCAAGCAATCAAGCTAGCTAGCCATGGTGGCAAAAAGTAAACGTTCGATCAGTAGTATTGCAGTTCTGTAGCAGGCCCCGATGCTATGCCGACCATGGCACTACAGGGTCTCGAAGGAGCTAATATAGCAACTATTATATGAACGCAACACACGCTACAAAGGATTGTTACTTTTTCCCCTTCCATTCTTTAACCTCATTTCATCACCCTTAATCGGACTCTGGTATTAAGGGACTTACAGACAACAAGCTCCAATGTCTTCCTGCTTCCTTCGTCAAATCCTCTTGGGGTTGAAAAATAAACTAGATTGACTTTCAACAAATTTCCATAACAACCTGCAGTGGCAGGAAAGACGGAGCGAGCGAGCGGAGAAAGAAGGGCTGCGGCAGCCAGATGTTTCCGAGCTGTTGCTACTCAACTCCAGCTACCGTAGAGGCGTCTGACTGGCAGCACAAAAGCCAATAGTGCTCGTGATAAGAAAAATGAAGGCAAATTGGAAGCAGCCGCTGAAGGGGGAAGAGGGAGGGATATGTCTACTGGGTGTAGGTTGACACCAGGCAACAGTGAGAAGGCAGAAAAAAGGCTAAGCGAACTGGTTCCCTGAACAGACTGGCGCAGAGCACAGAGTGAGCGAGAGGCTGAGCGCAAGGTGTCGTGGGTACTGTAGTCACGCTTCGACCAGTGGAGCGGAAGAACAGGTGCATTGCATTAGTCATATTCTTGAAATAAAAAACTTTTGTCACCGGTAACAAAATTAGGACTGCAACGAAAAGGTCTGCGAATGGCAATTGATGCGTAAAATGACTGCGTTGTGGAAGCATACAAAATAAATCAAGGTAGCACAATCAATTGTTCATTCATTGATTTGAATAAAGTGACTTTCTTTCTAGGCTATTATTTCTGACTATAGTAATTTTTCTATTGCCATGGTATAGCCTATAGGTTTTGCAAGAATATTAGATAGTCAATGCATACATAATGTTATGATGGATATGGTAGCCTACCCTAGTAGTACTAGGCTATATAGTCCTATCATTTAGGCCAGGGGTTCTCAAGCTTTTTGGGGCCTGGGACCCCTTTTGTGATAGCAAATTCATCAGGGACCCCCTCATAATCAGAACACAACTCGAGTGAGACAAGAAAAAAATTCATACAAGAAGTTCAATATTGACGTCGGAAGTCTCGGTCCCTGGGTAATTCGTTTGATCTGTAAAAAATACTATAATGTATATATTTTATGTATACATATATATATTGAGATCTGGACGCGGACCCCATGCACTACCTCCGCGGACCACTTTGAGAACCCTTGATTTAGGCAATAATAAACCATCATCAGGTTCATTCGATAGTGATAAAGTGCGTCTCAGGGACATATAACCATGTCTTGATTTTATGTCGAATACGTCCACTCTCACGTCAATATTTAGCCTAAAGTATTTAAAAACGAATAGGCTACTTTGTATTTGTATTTGTAGTAGGCTATACTGTATGTTATATTGTAGCCTATAACCCTATAACTTCATTAAGAGAGGGGCAACATTATGGTTAAGATGCATGTCTCCTTTGATGTGAGCCTTAGGCTATATTCTGAGACTTGGCGAGAACATTATAGGTAATAAACACGTTATAAAACATTATATAATGTATTATTATGGAGGTTCAAACTTAAGTCTATTTCTAGCCTTTTAATTAGTGCATCCAGTTTTGTAAGCAACGTGAAAAGTTGCACTGCGTGCCAGAGCAGTAATCACCCATGCAGGACCTTAAATCTGGGGCACAAGAGAATCAGTTTGCGACTACAATCACATCAAACAAAGATATAGTGCCCCAAAAATTAATGTATTGAGATGTATGTTCAAAGAGGTGTGATGCCATGTATTATGGATTTTCCATATGTTCAAAAATACAAATAGCAGGTTGTTTGTGTTGAGGCTATAGTGGAAATCCAGTCTGCACATTTACATTCCTAAATTCGTCCCAGTAAACTAATTGGCGTTACTAATACAGTTCAAAACCAACCACACAGTCCTACTACTACATGTAGCCTAATGTATTCACAGTGTTGAATCAAAACTAAATCACATCTTTAAATGCAAATAATGACCTCATTGTCTGACCAATTAGTGAATGTTACCAGCATTGTTTGGAACAGATTATAATCCAGACCCTGTTCACTCAGGACCATTCACAATTCGGAGTTTTGGGATTATTATAGGAAAGTTCTGAGTAATTATCACATAACATTATGTGATGATATGTCAATATGTACCCTATTTTAATAACTACATCTTCATCTTCTAAAGATTTTAGACAGCAAGCAGATATTGAGAAAATACCAATTTAAAAAAAGTTATTCCATATTTGAACAATGTTTTTAAAAAACCTACTCTTTCTTTTGATAAATACTCCATTTGTGGATAACTTGACATGAATGATCTGTATGGATACTTAGGTTTCACTTTTTCACTACTGAAATGTAAATCATTAACAGAGGTACAGTAAAACCAGATGCTCTCAAAAGAACTGTCTGTAGTGCAAACCTGAAGCCATGTGTGTGCTCCTCCATCATTTACAATCCCATGTGATTTACATAAACCTTTTAACTTTACAACTCCTTTTGATCCCAACATTATTTTTGAGTCAACAGATGCTGGCTGGAACAGTGTTGTGCCAAAAACAGAGATGTTTGATACAGTATAATACTTTCTGCAATTCCCTGTTCAAAACCAATGTCAAAGATGGGAAAGGCTAACTCTGTTGCCCATTCAGAGATGCCTTTTCATTTAGCAGTGAAGGACTTTGAGAAAAGTAATTTTCATACCTAAAAATATAAAGGATGAAAATGCTTAGATTTGGCACCAGTTTAATTTTGAGCAACATGATGTATGTGACAACTAAACATTCCACAAATGCATTGAATTTCTTCGCAACTATTATTTGCGAAGAAATACCTTCCTATAGGTGTTGGATATTGACATACAGCAGCATATTCATTTCTCTGCTATTTGCCATTTCAGGAAAAGAGAGAGCGCTCAGTGAGAAAAGGCTTGTCTCTATCTACAGTTATTATACTCCAGCCTTCTGCATTCCTTCCTCTTGGGGTCACTGTGGATTCCATGTTTGGGCTCCACATCCCTCTGACAGTCAAAGTACAGGCAGAACATAATTGATAATGATCAACTCTCGCAATTGAAGTCAAATATTCAACATACATTTAGTTAATGATGATAAATTAATAAATAGTGCATGATGATAAATCAATTATTGATTTATTCCTAAATGTATACCTTTTAATGCACATGACATAATGACATGGCAATGTTCCCTATAAGGTCTTGATTTATTTGTTTTGTTGTTGC